GTTGTAGCTTCAGTGGCCCCCTTAACACCAATGCCACTTTCAGTGGTAGAGCAGGCTCTGGCTTTGGAGGCATATTCAGCACCACTCCTGGGCATCAGTGGTGCACTCGTGTACCCACCACAAGCACAGTTTTCAGTGGTGCTCTTAGCACCAATGCTGGCTTTGGAAGCACTCTTAGCACCAATGTCTGCTTCAGTGACTCTCCCAGCTCTGGTACTAGCTTTGGTGGCACACGCTGTACCAGTATCTGCTTTGTTGACTCTCCCAGCACCAGCACTGGTTTTGGCGGCACACTCAGCACCATTGCCTCCTTTGGTGGCTCTTCTAGCACCAGCTCTGACTTTGGTGGAACACTAAGTACCTGTGTCTGCTTTGGTGGTTTCCCCAGCACCAGCACCAGCTCTCGCAGTGGACTCAGCAGCAGTGTCAGATTTGGCAATTCCATCAACACCAATGACGATTTTGGGGGTTCTGTCAGCACTAGTGGTAGGTTTAGCAGTGCTGTCAGCACCAGCACCAGCTTCAGTAGTACCATCAGTACCAGCACTGGCTTTGGCAGTGCTGTCAGCACCAATGCCAGCTTTGGCAGTGCCATCAGCACAACTGCTGGCTTCAGTGGTGCCATCAGCATCAGTGTCAGCTTTGGTTGTGCTAATAACACCAGTCTGTTTTGGCAGTGCACCTAACACCAGTCTTTACTTTTGTGGCCCGTCTACCACCAGTGCCTGCTTTAGTGGTGCCACCAGTGCTGGGTTTTGTGATGCACCGAGTACCAGTGCTGGCATTGGTGGTAGACTGAACACCAGTACTAGCTTTGGTGGTTTCCCATTTTACAGATGAAGACACTTAGTCTCAGTGAAGTAAAATAGCTTATCCAAGGTCATATAGCATCTAAGTTAGCATAGATAAAGTTAGATATTAGGACTGACCCATGATAGAGCCCCAGTAACTAAGAAATTTTATAAATTATTGCTACTAGCTTTATACACATCCCATAGTAGATGCTATAACG